TGAGATGAGAAAGAGACTTCTCATTTTCTCTGCCACTGCAATGGCCACTATTCAACTTATACAGATATATTCTGTAAGAATATTATGGCTCCCAAATCTACTGAATTTATACACAGTTAACCTCAGTCATGTTTGAATAAGCTCTTTGAAAATAGAAAGAACTAATGACTTTTGGCATGTCCTGTCACTATTCCTTAAGAGACACATTTGGAAAGATATTCATTTCTCTTGCTGACCTTCCTCCAGCTGATGATCCCAAAGAAATTATAATGAACAATTTGGCCTCTTCGATCCATTCTTTCCATTTATGTCTTTCAGAGTTTGTTTTGTGAATTGAGTACCTCCTATTGTTTTTAACCTGGGCTAGTATGTTAGAGAATTGTAGGGGTTGTTTGAGGATGGTTCATTTTAACACTAATGTATGAAATGACAAAACTAAAATAAGTATGTTAGGTCATTTCAAAAAATATTCTGATCTAATAATGTATTTTAAGACTTTACCATAAAGAGATACTGTGGAAAATCTAATAAAGTTGAGCTTCTTGGATGTGTAGATTAGTTTTTCTATAAATTCGGAGTTTTCTGCCATCATTCTTTGAGTATTTTATCAGCTCCTTTCTTCAATTCCTCACCTCTGGTGCTTCCATTATACATTTGTTGGAGAGTTTAATAGTGTCCCACATTTTTCTGAGGCTCTGTTCATTTTTCTTCTTTTTCTCTTTGTTTTTTGGATTGCATAATTTCTATAGATCTATCTAAAATTCTAAAGTGCTTTCTTCTCACAGTTTAAATCTACCATTGAGCCCTCTAGTGAATTTTTATTTTAATTATATGTACTTTTCAACTCCAGAATTTCCATTTGGTTCTTTTTTATTACTTCTCTTTTTTGATATTGCCTATTTGAAATGACATTGTCATCATACCATTTCTTTCCTTTTTTTTTAAATTTTACTTTGGTCATAGTTTCTTTTAATTCTTGGAGCATATTTATAACGACCACTTTTAATCCTGTTAAATTTGACATTTGATCGCTCTCACAGGCAGTTTTCATGGTCTTTGTTTTTTTTTTGTTTTTTTTTTTAGTTCTGGTGTATGGAAAAACTACATACTTTTCTGTTCCTTTTCCTGTCTCAACTTTTTTTGGGGGAGGGGTTAACTGAACATTTCAGATAATATATTGTAGCAATTCTAGGCACTGCCCCTCCTTTTCCAGGGCTTATTATTGTTATTGCCTTGCTTGCCTGTTTCTAAGGTGATGGCCCAAATTGTTTTAGTGAAGTCTATGTCCCCACACATACATACCCAGTGTGAAACCTCTGATGCTGCTCCTTAGGGGCCACAGACCTGGGTAGGTCCACAGTCACCCTATGATGATGGTGGTTATGGTAAAGATCTTTTCGACCGCCTCTTTTCCTGATCACACGTGGCTGTTAGCTCCATTAATTGCTGGCCAATTGTTCTGTTGTTTGCAATGATGCCTTGGAGCATAAATTCCTTTATAGATTAATCAAATAAAGTTTAGACTCCTTTGAAGGGCTAGTTCTTCACTCAGCATCTGATATTTTTCTGACCCAGGAGGGCTCTTCCCAGCTGGGACTGTCCTCATTTCTCTTCACTGAAATGAGAACAACCTCCCATGTAGCCTTTAGCATCAATGAATCCACCAGTCTCCTCCCAGTTGTTTTGTCCCATGACTTTTACTGTTCTTCAGAGTGTCCTTGGGCTTCAATTTCTTTATACTTTACTACAAATAAAATCAGTTTGAGGATTTTGGGATGAGACTGGAGCTCTCTGTTCTAAAGCCTGCCTCTTTTCCTGGACAAAATATCTGAGCCACTGCTCTGGTGCTGGAGATGGGGACAATGGCAGGCTTCCTTATGGGTGAAACTCTTCCTTCAGTTGCTGAATGATCAATTGATGCAAGCTGGGCAACAGCCCCAGACCTCAGATTGCCATCTCACTGAGGAATTCCTGCCTTAGAAGCCTGGACAGAAGCCTCGTAGTAGCCTCATTATTATTTATTTATTTATTTTTTGTAAAGCTATAACTGTTCTAATAAATATAATTTATTTGTAGAATATCCTGATAAAATGTGCAGCCTCAATGGATTCTCATAAATGAATCTTTTGGATCGCCTCTTTAAGTAGATGATCTAGGGAAGTATATTTGAAAGGTTGAGAAAAATAACATGTATATGGAGAAATCAAAACCACCGCATCTACATCTTTATCAAGTTTCTCTGGGAATTGTTTCAGTTTGGATATGCATTCTGTGTTCACGCTAGGAGGATGATAAATAATCTAGGGCTAAAATATTGAGAACATTATTTCAAAATCAACATTAGTTCTTATCCTTCAAAACATTGTTATTCTCTCTTTCCTTTTTCCTTAGCTTTATCCTCTTGCATATTTGTATTGGGACCTACTTATATTTTAATTTTTTTAAATTTGGTTTCCTAATTCTCACACACTTAATATAATGACTAGAAAAGAGTTAGGAAGGCTTGTAACAAAGACACTAAACAAATGCTTCTGAAGATCTCTGAAATCATTGAGAGGGGAGAGAGAAACAGTTTTTCTAGTCCTTAACAAATTGTGGTTTGGAGAGGGAAGAGAATTGCCAGTTCCTTTTTCCTATCTGTGGACCACAACTGGATAGCACGTTGCTTTCTTAGTAGGTTACAGGTCTGTTTTCCAAGGATACACCCTTATTCAAGAGTAGTAAAGATGTTTCTAGAAAAATGTCCTAGACTCTAATGATTGTCCTAGCCAACCTCTAATGTTGGATACTCTCTTGGTCACAGAAGCACTGAAATTTAATGGTTGAAATGGTTGCTTTGATTGCATTTGCTCTTGTCTTACAATGGCCCAAGGAATAACTCGGAATACTCTTCCAAAAACACATTTTACAAAAGAGCTTATGTAAGAGAATTTCCCTTTAACAAGTTAGAAAAGGTTTAATTATTAATGAGTAACAGCTAGTCTGTAATCTTCCAAGTGGTTCCATCGCAGAAATTATATTTTTCAGTGAAGTTAACATGAAGCAAACAAAATATCTATTTAGAAGATGTAACTTTTTACTATTATATTGTTATAGCTATTACCTTTCTGGCACTGATTAATGGAATATCGAGTACCTACATGTATGTACAGGACTGTTATTAGTTTTGTGAAGACAGCAAAGGGATCCAGTCTTTTCACTCTTCTAGAAATAAACTATCTACTTTAAAAGATTTGGATTTTAAGAAATACTTTGCAATTTTCAAAGTCCTTTTTTTGTCCCTAAAATCTCCATTTGAAGTTTCTAACAATAGCAGCAGGAAAGCTGTTATGGCAAATATTGTAGTTTTACAATAGAAGAATTCTAGGCTCGAAAAGGTTTTAAAAGTCATTTAATCTGATTCTTTCATTACATTTTTATAATACCAATTTTTTTCCTTTTCATTTTTAACTAGTATCGGACTACAGAAAGTTGCAAAAATGAAATTCTTATATACCCTTTATTCAGCTTCTACTAATATAAATACCTTATACAACCACAGGGTCATTTCAAAACTAGAAATTAAATGTGATAAGATGCTGTCAACTACAGACCTTATTCAAATTTTGCCAACTGATCCACAAACATCCTTTTCCAGGTCTAGGATCCAGTCCAGAGTCACATGATTTGTTTTCTTGTCTCCTAAAACCTCTTTTAATTTGGGACTGTTCCTTAGTTTCTTTGTATTACATAATACTGACATTTTTCAAAGGGTACTGGTCCCTTATTTTGTGGAATGGTCCTCATTTGCTACCCATTAGTTTTCAGGCTTAGGCAACCTACGGTGGTAATTTTCCGAGATCTCACAACATAAATTAGTGGCAGAGCACCTTGCACACACGTGGAAGACTGCCAACTGTATGGAAGGTTCATCCCAAGATTTTAGAAGGCATGCTTCATGCTAGAAGGGTCCGAACTGACACAGTAAATCAGTGAATTTACTCAGCAATTATATAATAGATGCAATAAATATATGTATCTCTAATAGATTGCTGAGTTCCTATGGAGTCTTGGGTTTTGTGCTGAGCCCTGGGACTACAATAGCGTGCAAAACCCCAAATGGTCCCAAGCCCACAGTGTGAGCTCGTTTACTTTACGGCCCTACCCCACCTCACCCCAGGACTTTGTACTGTTTTGGAGGACTCCAAAGCGTAGGTCCACAAAATATTTAGAACATGGCTAGTAGCAAAGTGCTCTTTCCAATGGGATTATGTGAGAAGACTGGTTTTAGACAGCACGTGTGTTATGAGAGTTCTGGAGAAAGGAGCAAAGTACAGTGACTGATGGAAAAAGCCCGAATAGGCATACTATCACCATGGAGAGAGAGAGAGAGATCATAGATATATCTACAGATGTTTATATACTGATAATCTGATCCTTCTCTCTCTCTCTCTCTCTCTCTCTCTCTAGTAAATGAAATACACACACACACACACACACACACACACACACACACACACACAATCTGTATATAGATCTGTCTGTATCAGTCATACACAACCCAACTCCATCTCCTCTGTCCTTCTGGCGTCTCTCCCAGGCCAGGACATTGCCTGTGCCTGTGCTGTGGGTGAGACCAAGGTGCCAATTCAGAGACGAAGAGGGAGTAGGAATGCCTCAATCTCTCTCCTCCCAAGGATTCTGGCGAGAGTCCAGGCGGCACGCGAAATCTGGGCTCCTGGCGGAGAGGTCGGAGTAGAACAAAGCGAGAGGCAGAGAGGAGGGGAGGAGGGTCCGGCTCTGGCAGTCGGATCTCAGCCGGCAGCAGTGCGGCGGGGAGAGCCGGGGGCGGAACGCGATCCCCGGCCGCTCCCGGCCCGGCGCGTGGGCT